GGCAGGCCATTAATTCAAGTCCATTGAAAGTCAAGGTCGGCAGAGCATGGCAGGCTAATGAACAACAACACAGCTACATGCAGGGTTCAAGCGTGCTATAAGGTAGAGACCGTTCCCCAAGGCTTCTCCTGATACACAGGAAGCAGACCACCTCCCTAAGGCAGCTTCTCAGCAGTTCACAGTAGATTCCACCATGGAGTTGATTACCAGTCTCATCATGGGGAATACTACATCCAGCTGCCCAGCCACTCAACCAGTCCTAGCCAAGTTGACACACAAACGTAACTATCGCACCTAGTAATGGGATTCACAGCAAATTCATTTTCCATACACCAGTTCATGCACATTTTGTTTCATGACATTGACTGTAATTCCCCGCAATGTAACAGCTCTCTTCCCACTTCCTCCCTGTAGTTACCTCTTCCCTGTGTCCTTCTTTCCTATGCATGCCTGCCCCACCTCCCCAGATACCTCCCTGTGCAAACACTGCCTTTCTGGTCTCCCAAGATTGATGGATTGATCGCTTTGAGGATATCTCCCCGATGTAAATATTTACCCTCTATGTCTCTCTATTGTTTGGGTGGATGCCACAGGAGTGAGTTCAATTCCAGACCTGAAGGGTAACTAGGGGCCATAGTTTCAGGGTCCCACCAGGCTCCATCAGACCAATAAACCCAAGGTGTCACTCCCTTAGTGACGTCTAAAACCTCAATTGGATCTTCTTAACAGCATCTGGATGTGTGTGTGTGTGTGATACCTGTTTAAACAATTCTTTTTTTGTTAAAAATCATTTTCTTGGAGATAACTTGGGAAGTTCTGGAGAGTGGAGTCAGGGTGGGGATCTGAAGAAATGACACATAACCCTACCCCCTCGGCCATGGGTGTGGACGGTGTGTTTTCTACGAATTCCCAATCACTCTGTACACGTTTTCTCCTGTCTTTAAACACTCCACAAACAAGGCTTTCCACATCTGCTGTTTTCCATTGAGCATTCTGTTGTTTGTGGGGTTTGCTATTGTAACCCAGAGAGGGAGTGCTTCCTGGGGGAGCTGTGTGCCAAAGGCCTTGGCCTTGTTAAACATTTTCGTAAAAATCTAGACCAATTTACAGCCATCAGCAGGGATTCTAAGGCCCATTTTGCAGAGAGGAAAACTGAGGCTAGAGAGGTGAAGCCAGAGGCAGTGAACAGGGGACCTGGGCTTGACCTAGGCTCTGCCCCTGCCCTGTGGCCGGTGGAAGGGCATTGGCCCAGGTGCCCTCCAGGGGAGTGACTTACCGCCTGGGGTCATGCCAGGCTCCACCCTAGTTTTCATCTTCACAGGGCTTTCTCCCCCCAGGTCCCTGCAGAAGGAGGATTCCGGGATAGCTGGCCCTGATAGCGTTCTGGCTGGGATAGTGTCTGGCCCAGCTGCT